TTTTTTTTTTTGGAAAATTTAATAACTGTAAATATTGATGTTTAAAGAATTTAAATGTTTAATTCAAATTTAAAAATTATGCCCTATAAGTGTGTTCATTTATTGTCACGATGGTAACGACACGCTGTATACCTACATATAATAATAATTAAAATAAAAAAAAGCGTTCGGTGACGATAACGCAAGTTCTATGATTTTTGTTTACTGAAAAGTACTCAACGCGCCTAAAGAAGTTTAACTTTATCGAAATAAACATGAATTTGATATTTCAAAATAAATATCAAATATCCTTCTATCGCGATTAAAAACATCGGCGATACCTATCGATAATCGAATAGAAAAATATCATTATTTTAATATATCGCTATTTTTTACCCCATGCCTAGATATCTTTTCTCTATGGTTTTAAGGCTGCCAGCTTAGAAATTTTCCTCCTGTATTTGGGAAGAAAAATGTATAATGCTAGATTTTTAGGGGGTAAATTTCTTGAGAAAATTTTTAGTAGTTAAATTTTATTAATACTTTTGAAAAAAAAAAAATAAACTACCTAAAACTACTTATTTTAAACAAAAATATAACTTAATAGTGCTGTGCTGCTTTGGTGGACGGCAGGCCAAAGTCTTGTATGTATATTTTAAATTTTTTGTACTAAACTATAATATTGAATGTATGTTATGTCTTAGTCGAAATATAAAAATATTCGTCAATTTTAGTGGGTTTTCGAATTTGTTTAGGAGTATTATTTTTAACAGCTGGTAGCACTGTTTGGTTTGTCATAGGGATGGGCAAGTAAAAAAAATATCGATATTTATTATATCAAAATTTTAAAAATTATCGATAGTTATCGACTGAAAAATATCGATATATAAATTAAATATAATTCGATACATTTTTTATTATTTCTATTTCCAAACCATTCAAAATCGTGAAAAAGAATAGACATGAAGAAAAAAGTAATAATCGACTCAATCAAATAACATTTATTTGAACCAATGATCATCTGACATGGACATTAGGAGCACCTTCTGTTTAATGGGCTCCCCTGTTAAACGGCTTCTATTGTTGGGTACTCTCAGATTCACAGCTGAAGCAAGTCTTTCTGAAGACACCGAACAAGCCTTGTAAATTAAGTACTTAAGGGCCACTTTTGAATTTCACTTCTTTATAAGGTGTCTTTTTTCCTACAACACCTTTTACAATTTTATGCAATTAGAAATTTATTAACTTCTAATTGCATAAAATTGTAAAATATTAATCAATCAGACAATTTGGACTAGTTGAACGTCACAGCGTTAAATAAAATCATGCAAACTGACATAATACTTAATTATTAATTAATCAAGTATCGCTAAATAGTTGAAGAATTTAACTTCTCATGATAGTGAAGTTAACCGACGTCTAATACTCTGAAACTTTTTTCAACAATAAATTATAAAAGTAAATAGTTAATAAAATTGTACTTAGTTTTTAAATTACTGCGTGTGCAATTTTTTCTTTTTGTTTAACTTTTTTGATTTGTTAAAAAAAGATCTGAACATTGTTAATTGTTTCTTAACTTCAGGATCATATACCTCTCACACTGATGGTTTAATAGTATTAGTAATTAGTATTTTCATGGTATTGGCTTAAAGGTCTTGTTACCAGCCCATAAAATCTTTATTAAAAAAAAGCGATATATCGGGAATAAAATTATCGATGATATATATCGATATTTATTTGGAAAAATATCTATATTTTTGCCCATGCCTAGTTTGTCCGTTGTTGAAACTGAAGTCTGACTCATAATGTAGTGATTACATTCTCTTTGGTCTGACTCTGACTGAACCTTAGATGATCTCCTCGAGTAAAAGTGTTTTGTGATCATGATACATAATTACATATAAATCTAAAATAATCAGTAATATAAACGCAGTGGTTATATTCTCTTTGCATATAATTGAATGAACTGAACTATTTGATGTGTCAACGACCAAGGAGTAATAATAGAAAATATAAAGGTATGTTGTATTTTGGACTAATTTATCGCATTTTACATGGTATTGGAAGTGATATCTCATTAAAAACTAAAGCTTTCCCCGCTGGTCTTACGATTCGCATTTCTAAGGAAGTGAAACTTGATACCATATAGCGATGCGGAGTATCAATTACGTTTTACGTGTTCAACTATTGGTGTGAACTGTGCTTGTCTTAAAAGGTTTTACGTTGGTTACATGTAATTCCCGACTTACATTGGTCAGGGACAGTGCCGCGAGAGTAGCGAGTACGAGTAGTGTTCAGTGTCGGGTACCAGACAAATGGCTGTTTACACTACAGTAATTGTCCAGTGGCATTTCTGTCTGGACGAGGAACTTCAAAAATACGTTCAATTTTGTTGTCTTTTACCGGCCACTAATACGACAATGTACAAATTTAACAGTTAGCGACTGTTGTTGCTAACTTTATTGTAACGAGTTTGCGCGGGGGATTAAGTGGGCGCGCGAGGAGTGCACTTGTAACAGAAAATAGAAATCGATTCAATTTTGATCTAGTTGCGAGGCGGCTAACAAGCCAATTTGACTCGGTATGGTCCGATTGGCTTACACCGCTATTTATCTACTTTACTACAAACTTGACATGTGCAAATTGGGTTTTATGGGTTGAGCATTGTTTCAAACACTCATAAATGTCAGCAATACATCCGCAAAGTATTAGCATTGACATTGTTTCTGATGGTTTAGATGTGACTGACTACAAAATCTCTATAAATAAGTTTGACTAACAATTTTGTAGAGCAGATTTACCCGTTTTAATTATTAGTCAAAGTCGTTTTGAAGTATTAGTAGTCTCTAAAAACTGAAAATTTTCAAAAACTCATCTAGTTCTGGGCTTGTTCAATTAAGCTTTTCCAATACCACTATGTTGGGCAGTTAGATGCATGATTTTGAAATAATATATAATTCATGAAATAATTTAATGAATTATATATTTTCAATCAACTAAGAATGGGGAAGGATCTCAAATCCATTGTATTTTTTTTGTTGCCTCAGAATTCCATTATATATAAACCATTTTTAAAATTAAGCTTCCATATGGTCCCATGTTAATTTAATTAGTTTTGGACCTTGGATCCCAGAGTTATATTGGAGCAGTCCTAGGTTTTGTTTTGTCAGTAAAAATTTTTAACAATAAGTAGTTAAGTCTCAAACAGATTTATTCTATTTAACATGGTCTTTATATTTAAAACTTGGTTTGATTATTTTATTTTATTTACTAGACAAGTCTCATATCCACAAACACAAGAAACAATAGTCATTTGTTATAATTATGGCACATATTTAATTTAATTAATAATTTATAAGTACAAGTTGCATCTTATTTAAAAGTTGTTGGTTTCATACCTATGGCGTCGTGATATTTCCTACACCTTAGAAAGAGGCGGTAGTTGGTATTGGTTTTGAGGCGTATAAATTCAACTCTCAAAACGTACAATAGTTTTTTGGTTATTGGTAGTTAATTGGTAGGCTGTTGCTCTGTTGGAAAAGGCAAGTACTATTGTTATCCAATAATTGAGTCATAGTTGAGTTATAGTTGTATAAATCTGTAAAAGCTGTGTTTTATAACTTGTCTCCAATAAACTCTGTTGGAAAAGCTAAGTGTTATTGTTATCCAATTATTGAGTTATAGTAGATAAATTGGTAAAAGCCATGTTTTATAACATGTCTCTAATAAATACATTAAAGACTTAAAATAACACTATGACCCCAGACTGTAGTTGAAAAAGTTATACTTGAAGATCCTTTTTACATATGATTTAACTTCAGTTTGGAACCTGTGTTTGAGTAACTGTTACTTAAATTTCATTAATTAATTGATTAAACAATTCAAAACAATCAAAATCGCTAATGGCTATAACTCAAATACAGAAGAAGGTTTATTTATTTAAAATCTTTTTTGAATAACATCATACAAGGGCTAATTAACATCAACTTATAAATATTCCAGCCTCATTACTAAAACATGGTTCATCACGCAATGTTTTATTAATGCGAATGGAAAACACACTGGTGCCAGTCACAGGTTCATTATTCTCCACATTTTTTAGGTTGTCAAATATTCAGTAACATTGTTGTCAATAAATATTCAGATATAATGTTCGCATATTTGTTTCAGATAACCTAAAACGAAAAACAAACTTTCGATAATGAGAGCAATTAATAACAAACAATATATTGCAAGTATAGTGGAGGAAGCTGCAAAAATGGAAGTAGGTAACTTGGTGTTCCTGGTGCTTATTCTACTGACATAACAGTAGTAGCATAAGCTATTCGAAACTGAATCATTCAGTTACAGACGCTTTGCCAACTAAACTACGTGGCCGACAACCTCATGTCGAGATATAATATGTCTGGATTTTCGCAAGACATATTATGTAGTGCCACAAAAGTTTTTATTCATTTGTCTTCAAAAATTCACAATGTAGAATTTTAATTTTCAGTGCACAGACTAGTTGAAAAAATAATCATATAAAATTAATCATAAGACTAATTTAAATTTTCAATTATAATATAATTAATCCTAACACTAATTTAAATTTTCAGTCATAATATATGTATGCATCTAAAAAAGACTGCAAGTGAGAAATGAGTGTGATGCTTTTCTGTTTATGGCACACATATCCCTGCTATTTAAAACTTCTGTGTATATTTATGTAAAAATCAATTGATCAGTAATTTTTCCCTACTATGGCTTTACTGATATGTCAGTCATAAGTGATTAAAATAGACAGATAAATAATCAGCTAATGCTTATGTCTAAAGTTTTTGTGATTCAGCACAAGTCTTGTATTACTAGGTTATATATGACAATAAGAGCTTATTTTAATGTTGTTTCCAGTTTTCACTTTATGCTGTGATGTACCATGCTTGCATTATAATATTGAATGAAGCGATTTTCTTCCCAGGAATTATATAGGCCATATTGATGTGTTTGTTGGATATTCCTTCCATTCTAAACTTCTCACCATGACCTGGAGAAGCCCATTGCTGAATGGATATGTCCTATTGGTATGTATTAACTAATTTTTCAACCATTATTTAATGAATTCTAAATGTATCACTTCAAGTTATGTGGTAGGGCCACACTGCAGCTACGGCTGTTGCATAAATAGGCAGGATCATCCGGGGAAGTACTACAGTCTCAAAGAAGATGGGCGTGAAGTGGATGTGTGTATTATACTTTCGTCTGGTGAGTGAACGGGAGCTGTCTTTTTTATTATTGGCCACTCATCTGCAACTTGTCGGTGTTATAGATGTCAGCTCGCTTGCCAAATTGTGACATAAAATAATGTATTTTAAACGAAAGATCACAATGGGTTGAAACCTTGATTACTTATGGTGTGGTGAGGTTTAAGCATTTCCAAATGTGCACATTGATATGCCTCTAGGGTTTCAGTAGCATTGCCAGCCTTGATGTGCGAGGTCTCAATAGAGGATTGTGGTACATATATGTACTTTAAATGGTGTTAATTGTATAAAAAAATAATATCCCTCATTAAGGACTCCTCAAAATGCTCACAAATCTATCTATAGAAATAGCTTACACAGGTCACTTGTCATAGACAAAACAAAGAATTTCAAATCAGTGTATCCATAATTGTCAAGACTCAGTGACATGTAGAGGAATAGTATTATGTTACTTATGTTTTCTATGATGCTCTTTATTGTTTAATTTTTACCAGGACCACAGTGAACCGGTTGTTCAGCCATGTTGGTTGTGCGGAAATCGAAGTGTTGTAAAGGATTTACAAGATGTACAAATAGTTAAAATGTCAACAAATTCTATGAAGGATGTACCGGAAGTAGATGCAAGCAAAAAGTATGGAGCCTCTGAATTTTTGACATATGCCTGAAAGCAGCGGGACATTTAGTGCCAAAATTTATTAAAATTATGTTGATAAAAAATATATAACTTGTATATTACTAGATATGTCTGTGTTGCATTTAAATAGAAATTGCTACATGGTTAATAGATCAAGCTTTAAAGAGTAGTAAATAGTAGATTTTGACACACCTATAGTCACGTTTGTCACTCCTGGACCATTAAAATGGTCCAGGAGTGACAAACGTGAGGAATTTCTCGCCTAGTTTAATAAGTTATTGTTAGTTAACTATGCAACATCACCATAATCCTTAGCTATTTATATGATAAAACTCCTAAACTGGTCAAAGTTACAAATGGATTTTCCAAATAACCAGAAATACTATAAAAAGGCGAATGAAAAAAGTAAGGAATAGCTTGTGGAACGCTCACAGTTTGCACCACTTTTCACATAGGCCGGCGGCATCAAAACAGATCAGAATTTTCTAATGGAAGTTGGACTGCTGCAGCTTTATTGGTTATAGGATTTTTTTTATGTGAAAATTTTGCGAGCAGGCATGTTAAGTGAATACAGCCACCCATGGACATCTGCTACACCCGAGGGTTGTAGATGCGTTGACAATTTTTGAAAATTGGGTTCCGGCTACCTCACTCATCAGACAAAACGCGAAAGTATTTATTATACTTCCACTTTACGCCGGTCTTATGTGAGGGTGTGGTACGTACCCGGACGAGCCTGGCCATTCGTGCAACAGCCGAGGCTGCTGCGTGGCCCCACCACAGTTAAAAAATATACATACAGTTGCATTTACATACATAGATTTTTTTTATGTCAGAGATGGCAAGCGAGCTGGTGGTTCCCCGATGTTAAGTGATAACCACCGCACACACCCTTTGATAATTGCAACACCCGGAGAGTTGCAGATGCGTTGCCATCAAATTCGGAATTTTAAGATTTCCACTTCACACCGGTCTACTGTGAGGTCGTGGTACTCACCCAGACGGAGCTTTTCATTCGTGCAACAGCGATTTATGCCGGTCTTCTGTGAGGTCGTGCTACTTACCCAGACGAAACTATTCATTCGTGCAACAGAGAAGTCTGTTGCGTGTCCCTACCACAGTTATACATATGGATGATTGTCATAAAATCTGTTATAATCTCAAATAGATATAGAGATTATTATCATTATGTTTATTTACAGAGTTCAAGAAGCGGTCCATAGATTCAAGCTGTATGTCAAGTGATTTGCTTCAGATGTTTTAAAAGGTTCACCGATTTTATTGAGGATTTACAAGTTGCAGTTTGAACTCATCTATTGGTTCCGATCTGTTGGTGGTTCAATGACAGTTTGTGACGAACAACATTCAATGAATAAAAAGCAATTCTTTATAGGTCAACCCAAAAAAAAAACTATTAAGATTTTTTTTATATTTAAATACAATCGCAGAAATATCAAAACATCCAATGTTTGACTTCCAAGCCCACTTGGTAGTTTTTAGCACCACCTGAAAACGCTCGCTCAGGTTCTACACTGGTTGGAGGAATAGACAATAGATACTTATGTGCTGTTTCCAAGAGATATCTAAGAACTTCTCAATTTTCTAACAGGCGCATTTCTCGCCTAATACTATTTGCCAACGCCGATTCATTTGTACTTGCACTGCAACATCTGGGGATTTCATGCTGTTATCAATTTCCAGCTGTAACTTTTCCTTTAATGCCATTGGGGTTAGGAGGTTTCTGGAATTAGCTTATCATCTGCTTGTGATCCTGACCTTTCTTCTTCCGTGTCATCTCGCAGTACACTTTATTTGTTTACTCAGCCTGTGTAGGAATTGGACATAAGCCATGCCATTCTAAATCGGATATAATAACTGATTCTCATCATCTTTTCGTGGATTTTGTAAATAGTTCAATACAACAGTTGAATCTTCATATGTTCCACTAAGGATGCTTTGATTTTTTTTGTGAGTGCCGAGTTTTTGCTAGACATTTGTTTTATGAGAAATTTCAAAGCGGCATTAGCTGTGCATAAATTAGCATCTCGCCGACAGATTGCTTCTACTGTCAATTTGGTTGGGGTCACCACATCAACTGTGTTATTTACCAATTCAAAATCAACATTTAATCAATATGGATGTTTAAGAGCTTTTAGAATGCAGGTTTTTCAAACATAAAATCGCTCCTGCATTGTTAAAAGTCTATTCCAGCTGGTTTTACAGTCCAGGAAAAGTGACAACTCTGTCCATGTAAAATTTTAACATATTTTTGAAGTACTGTTTCATTTTAAAATGCTGATCTTTTGAAATCCACTACAACTTTTCGGATTTTCTTTATCAGCCCTTTAATATTTTCATCTTGTGTTAACTCTGGTATGTGTTAAATGAAAAAAATCATTTAGATGTAAAGTTTCATCTCGTGTTAACTCTGGTATGTGTTAAATGAAAAAAATCATTTAGATGTAAAGTATCAATTTTCTCTGATAATAAAAAATTAATTGATTGTAATGGTTGATAATCGTCCTCGTCACAATTAGCATTAATTGAATGAGGTAAATTCATGTTAATAATCAACAGTGTTTTATAAGCATTGATAAATTGCATGCATGAGGGATTAACATTTCTGATTCCATTGCTTCTAATGCTACAAAAATTCCGAAGGGGATCTTCATTAAAATTTCTAGTCAAAATACTATTAGGTTAAAATTTGTTGACTGTTTGACACTGAAGTTGCTGTAGGCTGGTGTAGTTCCTCTTGTGAATAAACCTGTACTTGAAGATGTGCAAGTTCTTCGCGCACATATTTAATTGCAGTATCTGCATTGCTTTCTAAGCCAAATGCTTTTTTCTTGCAACGAGGATCAAGAATAGTACCTAGCTTTTGCTACCGTTCTGTTGGTCTCATATATGCTTAATCTTTTATCGATGACACTAAGCAACGATTGTCGTAAATGTTCACCCGCTTCAGTATTCAGAATCTTTTTTGAGATAGTATGTTGTAAACCCCTTACTAATGGGATTACACACGATATCGTTGGATAAGACTCTCCCGGCAACGTCGTGGACATATTTTCTATAGGTTTTAAAACAGCAACAAAATCTTCCAGTACCGACCAGTCATTTGAATTTAAGCTTGGTGGATGGGTTAAGTCTAATTAATCTTTCGAACATGTAAAACGTCGAGTTCCTCGTTTGGACTTGTTTAAGTTTTATTGGGTCCACATTCATTTGACTCTGCGTGTCCCTAAGAGCGTTCGAAGACTTTACGCTTTGTTTAAATTGAGTAACAATCGCACGATTTTTTGAAATATTTTCGAGTATTTCACTATTTTTTAAATTATTGTTTTGAAAATTTTCATTTTCTTTGCTAATGCAATCCTTGACAGCGAGGTTTAATGTATGAGCAACACAAAAATGGTTTCTCTTTTAAAATAATCATTCACTTTTCACGCTTTTTTCATATTCGGAGCATTATCAGTAACTATAGTTACTACTTTATCAAATATTTGCCATTCTGTAAGTATCGATTTCAAAGTATTTGAAATATTTAATGACGTTTGGTGTTCAGAAAGTTCATCTGTCGATATTACCACTGAATGCAATTTTGAGTCTTCAATAAAATGCGCAGTCACACTGATAAAGGCCTTTTGACTATCGGAGCTCCATATGTCTGTAGGTAAAGAAATATCGGGCACATACTTTAATTTTTCTTTAACCTCAGCACTGTATAAACTATATTTGTCATCTAACATTTGGGCCAATTTTTTTCCAGAAGGTAATTCATAATCCGTATTTATTATTTTTGTGTATTTTCTGAAACCTTCATTTTCTACTGTTTGTAATAGTTGCATATCTAAAACAATCATGTCCATTAATGCTTCATCACCATGTTTTTTATTAATTTTAGTAGTTCCATAGTATTTATATGTAAAAGAGCACAATTTACATATCGCTCTGGAACTATCGTTAATTTTGTCAAAAAACTACCAAACTACATTCTTTTTATTTACTATAAATTTATTTATTTATAAATATAATATATGTAGGTATAAAATTTACGCGGAGCTATTATTTTAAAAAAGGAAAACAAAATAATAAATGGGTTAGCGACTTGCGTCAATTTCACACTGTGTTGACCGTGCTATAGGCGAGATCGAAAGTCTCGAATCGTTGTTTCTTTCTCATTCTAACTCATTCATTAGGCATCTCGCTAGCTCGCTCGACTCGGCGTCAACTTCGAATCGTTACTATTAGCGAATTGCCGCGACGCTGACGAGAGTTCGTCACCCACCGATCTAGAGGCTCGAATCGGCTCGATCAAATGGCGCGGATCGTTGTTTCTTTCTCACTCTGACTCGTTCATTTAGCATTTCGCTAGCTCTTTCGGCTTCGGAGTTGACATCAAATCGTTAATAGTAGAGAATTGCCGCGATGCCGACGTGAGATCGTAACGCGAGCCCGAATCGCGAGGCGACTCAAACTCGAACCGACTCAGTTCGATTTATTAAAAAGTCAGATCGATTCGACTACTTTGAGCGTCACGTCGACTCAATCGACTTACGCAAGTCGACGCGTCCATCGCTAGGAATACCCAAGTGATCGGAACATAGAACCTCAATTTACTGTGGTCGGGACAATCTTATGTTCTTGTTCTCAATAGTTTCGGATTGTGTTTAACATAAACGAATGTGGCTCTATCTCACCGATGTCGCGTTGGATTTGCGATTTGATCTCAGGAATTGTTTCGGGTTTTTTCGCATAAACCCGAGATTTCAGAAAACCCCAAAGAAATAAATCGAGCGATCTTGGTGGCCAGTTGACATCAGAATTTCGTGAGATAATGTGTTCTGGAAATCGTTGCTGCAATAAGTTGATTGTTTCATGCGCGGTGTGGTAGGTTGCGCCGTCCTGCTGAAACCACATGTTGTCCAGATTCATGCCGTCCAGTTGTGGCCATAAGAAGTCCGTTATCATATTTCTGTAACGAAACTTTTTTCGAAAAATTGGCATCGACTTGCACAGTACCCATTGAACGAATTTCCGGCGCTTTCCGTGGTCTGCTCGTTTGAGATCCTGAGTTAACTGAATCTTGTACGCATGAAGGTGGAGTTATTTAGTCAAAATTCGCTGCGTAGTGCTTCGTGACATTTAAAGTTTGTTGAGAACATGTCGAATTGATGTTTTCGGGTTTTCGCCGACACTCTCGTTTGCAGCAGCAATGTTTTCAAGAGACACATATATGATAATGGTCGCCTAAAAACGTTTGTAGATCTTATTACAAAATCGAGCGCGCGAAATGCTTTGTCGGTGATATAATCCACGTGATAACCTAGGTAAAGTTTCGAGTCTAAAATAAAACCAAGTCCTTGATCGATTCAATGCTGTTCAACTAAATATTGTTAATGTTGTAAGGAAAATCAACTACATTACGTTTTTTGTGAATGTTATGTTATTACATTTGTTAACAGTCAATTGAAGTTTATTTTTAACACAGTTTCCTTTCTATCTAATCGGCCTCCCATCATAATGGGCGCGTGCTTTTGCTATCTGTTTAAATATGGCGCGATCAATAAAATATCGTCGCGCAAATCAATTTCATAGTCCCTCTGGCATGATCTCGTCTCCATTCACAAGGAGATGGTTCTTCCATATTGCGTCTGGGCTGACAGTCAATGTAAGTCAGTGAAAGTCTTCAAACCGCAGTCTGTGCGCATGCGGATCTGCATATCTCTATTGCCGAGTAATTCGACAACCTCTCGTAAAGATGATAACATCAGATTTTCAGGCCGTGCTTTCATGAATAGTGGTGGAAAAGAAGCTGACGATGTCGATGGCTGTGCCTTATTTGTATCATTTTCCAAGGGCGATCCGTGACATAGCTTGGTGCAAAATCATCGTCGTTAAATTTATTTTGGGTGTAGGGAAATATGCCAGTTTTTTCAAATCCACTCTTTATGTTATTTATATTAAAGGTAAAGCAGTGCGAACGATTCCAGGGATATTTTATTATTTAGGATTATTTTAGGATTATTTTATTCCATAAATCGTCATTGTCTTTCCAGCAATTCCTCATCCATGCATTTTAAGCTGAAGACATATATCTTTTAAAAGGCCCGTATACCGCCACGTCGAGCAGTTGTAATTTGTGGGGACAGTGAGAAGGAAACGAAAGCATCACCACACCATTTTCTTTAGCTAGGTCTAGTGCACGTACAGATAAGTGCGAAGAGTGGTTGTCTAAA